ATATATACTCATATTGACCATTCTTGAGAATTAAATTTTATGTTCATTCTAAAACGTAGTATCACTTTAAGAAACGTAAAAAGTCACAAATTTAATTATTCAAAATAGCTGGAAGAAAATTGGCAGAAAACACTTACGTTTCCCAGCACCAAGGTTTGCACTCCAACAACCTCCAACACAGAAAACCAGAACAGTCAAAACAATGTAACACTTCATTTTACTATCTGAAACAAATGCAACATATTTTACTATCTGAAACGAATGCAACATATTTTACTATTTGAAACGAATGCAACATATTTTACTATCTGAAACGAATGCAACATATTTTACTATCTGAAACGAATGCAACATATTTTACTATCTGAAACGAATGCGACATATTTTACTTGTATGTGGTTCTTTTACATAATACAAAAAGAGATTTGCTCTTCAACAGCAGATTTTGACACATGACATCACATGACAACCTGGCCACACGACAGTTCAACTAGTTAGACTCTTTCATCCGTGTCAAAGCAGAAGTCAGTCAAGTTACCGACTGAGATTACCCGGAATGCCAAGCAGACGACAACCCAACAAGCTACCACAATCTATCTATTTCATTGGATTCGGTCAACAAATTTTTCTCCATAAGAGTTTCGTGTTGGAGAACACTTAGGCCTTTTGTTTTTAGGTCAGAATGAATTGCGACGTTTCGTTTATGAGACTAAGAGCTTTCTTTGGTAATTCTTAGAAAATACCAAAGGAAAAGAAAACGTTTTAGTATACCTTTACTTAAATACAGCTATATTCCTCGTGTTAGTCAAAGATCTTACAGATCGACGCAGCTAGGTACGACGTTACGTGAATGCTACCCTTGATCACTTACCTAGGTGTTAGAGATTCAGAAGAAACGCTACCGTTGTTAAAGTGCTAGAGAGATGACTGGTGATTCGGTTGTGAAGTCGAGAATATCAAACAGCGTTTTTATATATACCCTTAAGTTCGTGTACTACGTCATAACAGGTTTAGTCGTGTGTCATTTTGTCAGTTTTGACAATTAATTTTTTCCCAAGTTTTTCGTTCACGTTGTGATGGTGAGTGAAAAATGCCCTTATGTCTGAACAACCCTCTCTTTATGGATATTCTCGAAATTTTGAAATCAAAAACCGTTAGCTAATGTCACTTGCCTGAAGAAATTCAATGCATATCGTTGCCATTCTCAGTCAACCGAGTTCGCGTTGAACACTAATATGCTAATATTTTCGTAGGGCATATTATGCCAACCCTCTTGCTTAATGCGTATCATTTTTAGTTTGTCATCACCACAAGAAAAACTGCAGATGGTAATGAAGGCCCCTTGTCAAAAAACACACGATAAGGTCACGATTGTTGTGTTTTGGTATGAATCACAATGGCGAGCGTTGACAATGACAGAGATCAGCCATGAGATCCTCAGAATTTTTTTTTATCCTTATCTCTTATCAGTGATGAGGGAGGAGAATGCAAAGGTTTATGATCGACTTCGATCGATTTCGAATGGACAGTTCCTTGATAGAAATCCCTCTTTGCATAATGCATTGTGTTTTTGATAGTCCAGCTTATGCCGCTGTTATGGCAAAATTTCACTCATTGCACACTACACCTCGTTGCCCGTCTTCATTAACTCATTAGATGCAGAAAAGTAGGTCGTAAAACTCCAATAATTTCATTTCATGATTTTTTCATGTACCAGGATTCGGACTAAAAAATGTCTCATTTCATTCATGAAAAGCAAGAAATAAAGTAGAATTTAATAGTTGTCTGATGTTAAAATAGAGTTTTCTCCCTTGCACCATTCAATGAAAACTGATCAACGAGTTTGTTTTAATACCTGACAACGAGTATAAACATATAAACAGCTTAGGTTTGTTTGCAGACGACGGGTGTGGACTGCCATCTTGAATGTATCAAAATATGTCAATAAAAAACCTCGACCAGTCCTTTAGTGTAGAAAAATCGAATTCAAGGTAGGGAAAACCTTATATCTTAATTAATTTTCTTTTTTCGTGAACAGTTTTTTTAGCCTACGTGTCGTCGTCTGGTTCTTGGTCTGTTAGGCATTTACGTGCAGCCAAAATGACAGATATCCGATCCGCTTGAAATATTTTTGTAATTATGATATAGGCCTACTTTTAATGTGTTTGATAGTTAGGCTATTGAATGATTTTCGAATTATTCGCCGGTGGTACGCCGAATTTCGTGCTACTTTCGGACCGTTCGGAACATCAGACATAGCCTAACTCCAAAACCAAAAACTAGATTGCGAGCAGGTTGATTGTTGATTTATAGATTGGGGTATTCGTTTCTGATATCGGAACTAAATTAAGGTATGTATTGCTCACAGTATCATTTCTGACATCGAAAAGGATGGGTCACTAAATCGAGACCGCCCGAGGCCATGTCCGTAGATAGGCCTACATGTTGGTTGAGATCTGGGCCTAACATTAAGGTATATAATCTTTACGCGACATTAAGAGATCGAGATCACTAATCCTAAGTTTTATTATACAACTTACTTCAATTTACATTTTTGTGTTCCGTTATCTAAACTATTGCTGGGTGCTTTAGAAGATACTCTCCTATAGAAGCACTGGCCAAGGTCACAAGAAGAGAACATTCTTCTTTTACATAAATTATCAATTTGAGTAATAAAGATTAAATTGAAATGGTTCTAAAAATGTTCTGCGCTGCGTGCAAAGATAAATTACACCAATGTAAATTCATATGTTTAGACTACCACACCCTTTCAAAACACAACACAACACAACAACACAACACACACAACACAACACAACACAACACAACACAACACAACACAACACAACACAACCACCAACCACAACACAACCACCAACCACAACACAATCACCAACCACAACACAACCACCAACCACAACACAACCACAACAACACAACAAAACAACAACACAAAAAAAATAAATAAATAAATAAAAAAGGAAAAAAAAAGACAACAAAAAACAAAAGTCTACAGCAACAAAATACAAAAGAAATATGAAAATATAACATACAAATAGAACAAGAAAATAAACAATTAATTGCAATATATCAAGACCAAGGGACAAATAATTATAAGATTACTAATTAGTAATACTAAAACAAAACTTGAGTTTCACGCTGTGTGATTACTAATTATGTTGACGACCGAGATCGAAGGTGTTAGACAATAATATTAATAAAGTTATATAATAAAGACATCTGTTTACGTTTTGTTCTTGTTTAGATATTTCAATATGGTTGTATTAATTAACGAATCAAGTCAGAGGGGAATCATGTTCCTTTAGCAACGGTAGTATATTACCAATAGTTATGGATATTATCGTACCGTTGCTAAACGAACGTGTAGCGGTGGGTTCGTTTTGCCGCATTGCCCAACTTGCCGCATCGTGCTCAACTGCACAAAAACGACTTGTAAAACGAAACTAAAGGTTTCTGATAAAATCCGGAATAGCCATTTGTTCCATATGAAACGAAATATTTTAATCTATTGTCCCGCATCGAGTTTCTTTTTATTCATATTTTGGACCTGTTGGGAAAATCGAAAATATATACCAAGTAGGCTACAAACGATCAGAACCGTAATACACTATAAATAAAATTTGGTTATAACCTCTATTGCGTGCCTATAACGTCACACACTTGGTATTTATTTTCTTCCAGATTTGACCATAAAACTAGTTTCGATTTTCCCAACAGTTCCAAATTATAAATAAAAAGAAAATCGATGCGGGACAATAGATTAAAATATTTCGTTTCATATGGAACAAATGGCCATTCCGGATTTTATCAGAAACCTTTAGTTTCGTTTTACAAGTCGCTTTTCTGCAGTTGGGCATGATGCGGCAAGTTGGGCAATGCGGCAAAACGAACCCACCGAACTTGTAGGGGCATAGGCGCGTGTGTTTCGTTTCCACTTTTTGGTTTAATATTATTCACAACCAATTCACTGAAAGTTTTAGGTGCTCTGGTAATAAGAAAGTATAGGGACCTATAGGTGGTTTGGACTTTCTTACTGCATATGTATAGGACTAATCAAACGGTCCACCACGCAAGTTCCACTATAGCGCTCATTTGAGGGATATATTACTGTCTCAAAAGACTAGTGTCTAGAAAAGCACCTACTTGAGGTACGTTTCCCGACGTGATTAGCTTCTTCTATATCAAACTGTATTGAACATAGCACATCCTTCTCTATTTACACATTGAGAGTCATACAGTTAAAAATCCGTTTTCAATTTTGTAATTTGAATTTTTTCTATTTTGCAGGAGCACCTCATTTCTCTGAGAATGACTTAAATCAAGATCTGAATAAGACCAAATGGGGTGTGGCGCTTCCTTGGCTCTTGGATCAGATCCACAAACTGGTTACGGGCGCAGTGATCGTGCTCCGCTCCCTGCTGAAAAGTCCAGTAGCAAGAATCAAAGGAAGATCCAAAATCGTGTATCTAGTATGAGACACACTGAGCAACATCTAGTAAGTAAATGGGAACAGTTGGATATACAGGCTCAGCTAGCGAAGCTGAAGCTGAAAGATCCAGAATCTAATTGGTGGAACGCAGTAGATGATTTAGTTACTGAAGACGAACCTGTAGTCATTCCGGACGTTCAGGTGAGTTCTGAATAAAATACAATAACATCTAATTATGTGGAGTCACCTAAATGGGCAACGAGTTGACAAACATAGCTGCAGAGTGGCATTGGGATTTCATATTGTGATTACACAGGCTCTTTAGAGACACATCCACAAGTAAATATTCTAACGGACCGAAAGTGATTTTGGGATGCATTTGACAGAAAAGCATTGGTTCAGCTCTTATCAGCTTGATTTGAGTTCAGTCTTCAAAATAGTAGAAAACTCGCGTTGTTGATTAATTTGGTTACTTAGCCCGTGTTCCCAAGTACTACATAAGGCGAGCTTCTGACAATATTATAACGAAACTCGTTTGATAAATAAATTCGTATGTTTTCAGAGAAAGCAATGGAAGACGGTTCGACTCTTTATATCCAGTACGTTCAAAGACATGAACAATGAAAGAGAGTATTTGGTCAAAACTGTCGTCCCGGCGTTGCGGCAATGGTGCGACGAACGCAAGCTCAGACTGATAGAGTGTGACTTAAGATGGGGCGTACCAAAAGATGCCGACACCAGAGAAACTTTGATGGCGTGCCTTTCAGAGATTGATCGGTATGTTTAGAACAATTCTACTACCAACCTGACGTTTCGTTTCGTGTTTCATATAGGGAGCCGCGGTGGCTCAGTGAGTTAGACACTTGCTCGCTAACCCTGAAGGTCCAGGGTTAAATCCAGACATAGGCCGAGATGATACCTTCGGATTTTTCAACCCGTTTTCCCCTGTCAGTGATGCAGGTAAGAGGGGCTGACTTGGAAAAAGCGTCTAGTCGTTCGGATGGGACAATAAACCGAGGCCCAGTGTGCTACAGGTTGTGCACGTTAAAGATCCCTCGGCAGTTGGAAATCGAAAAAGAGCAAGCTAATGCCGTTGTAATGGCAAAATTTCCCTCATTGCACCCTGCATTGCGTTGCCCGTCTTCATTAGCCCACAAGGTGCAGAAAAGTAGGACGTAAAACTCCATAAATTTCATTTTTCATTTCATTTTCTGTTTTCATATATGGTTGACTCTTATTTCCATTATTTTCTCATAGTCATTTGGTTTAAACTAACCAAGCAAAGCACTGTTACTTTGCAGATTGAATAATATATTTTGAGGCAATCTAATTCAATAATTTTTTGAAATTTTTTTTCTTTGTAGGTGCCGTGAAGAAAACGTATATCCGTACTTTCTGTGTATGCTATCAGAACGCTACGGGTACGTGTGCGACGCAATGGACGTACCCGAAGATATAAAAGGCAGATACAACTGGCTGCCTGGTATGTCTGTAACTGCCTTAGAAATTTTCACTGGTGCCTATTGGGACAGGAGCCCACATGTAAGTATACTGGAAACCCATTAATTTGTCATCATGCTCCCCGCCGTTGTCAGCGTTATCAGCAAGCATCCATTCCTGAAGTGTCAGCCGCCACGCATTGTTCATCAGTATTAGCATAAACATCGTCAAATCTATATCATCATCAATCACCACGCATCAAGTGATATCATCAGCGTCATCAGAAAACACAAAGCATCAGTCAGAAAGCATCCAGCCCTGAAGTGTCAGTCGCTAACCATTATTCATCAGCATAATCTCAAACATCATCAACAAACATCAGCAGCATCAACATGCATCAATCAATATCACCATCAGCAATCACTATGCATCAAGTGATATCATCAGCGTCATCATCAAACACAAAGCATCAGTCAGAAAGCATCCAGCCCTGAAGTGTCAGTCGCCAACCATTATTCATAAGCATAATCTCAAACATCATCAACAAACATCAGCAGCATCAACATGCATCAATCAATATCACCATCAGCAATCACTATGCATCAAGTGATATCATCAGCGTCATCAGGAAACACAAAGCATCAGTCAGAAAGCATCCAGCCCTGAAGTGTCAGTCACTAGCCATTATTCATAAGCATAATCTCAAACATCAGCAGCAAACATCAGCAGCATCAACATGCATCAATCAATATCACTATCATCAATCACTATGCATCAAGTGATATCATCAATGTCATTAGCAAACAGCATAATCTCAAACATCATCAACAAACATCAGCAGCATCAACAAGCATCAATCAATATCACCATCATCAATCACTATGCATCAAGTGATATCATCAGCGTCATCAGCAAACAGCATAATATCAAACGTCATCAACAAACATCAGCAGCATCGACATGCATCAATCAATATCAGCATCATCAATCACTATGCATCAAGTGATATCATCAGCGTCATCAGCAAACAGAGCAACAATCATCCAAAGCAATCTAATGTATTCATATTCCAGGCGTTGTTCATGTTACGAGATGGTAGTTTCATCTCAGATATCAAAGACGACAGTATCAGGGAATATTTTACCGAACAGAAGCCAGACTCCATTGATTCGTTGAAAACATTAAAAGGTAACTCCATCGTATACAAAGTATATTATAGCCAAGTCATAATTTAAACTAATGCTAAATTTGAAATTGGACTGTTTTTGAAAAAAGAGTATTACCTCTGCTATTTGCATCAATGGGAAAACCAAATTAACTTCACAAGGTACTATCCTTGTAAAATACCAGCTGGTAGACAGGATCCTACAGAACCACAGGTGTTCTCGTGAAATATGTAAAATCAGTACCGTGAGCCGCGGTGGCTCAGTGAGTTAGACGCTTGCTCGCTCACCTGAAGGTCCAGGGTTCAATCCCGGCATAGGTCGAGATGATACCTTCGGACTTTTCAACCCGGTTTCCCCCCGTCAGTGATGCAGGTACGAGGGGCTGACATGGAAAAAGCGTCTAGTCGTCAGGATGGGACGATAAACCGAGGCCCCGTGTGCTACAGACTGTGCACGTTAAAGATCCCTCGACAGTTGGAAATCGAAAAAGAGCAGGCTAATGCCGCTGTCCTGGCAAAATTTCCCTCACTGTACCCTGCATGGCGTTGCCCGTCTTCATTAGCCCACATAGTGCAGAAAAGTAGGACGTAAAACTCCATTCAGATCTTCAGAATCTAGATTGTTACCTTTATGGGGTCATTTTTTGAAATTCTTTTCTTTCAGACAAGATCAAGTCCACATTTCCAAAAAATCAAGTCAAAGAATACAAGTGCCAAATAAAAGACCAGGATGATGGAAAAGTCATTCTTACTGGGTTTGAAAAATTTGGTAATGACATCATAAAGCATTTTAAGGGTGCTTTAACGCATCACTATCCTAATGACGCTCTGGGCGAGGAAATGACAGAAGTGGAAATTCTTAGGGAGGAGCAGAAAGATTTCCTGTTACAGAGGTCAGGGGTAAGTACGTCATCATTATTTAGTCTTGTAACAGCATGTTTCAAAGCTAACGAAAATTTTTTCACATAGTAGGGGGATTGGTACGGAAGCGTATTAGGGCCATTCATTTTTTTTTTTTTGAATTTTCAAGTTAGTATGTTGACTTGAAAATTCAACATACTAACTTGAAAATTCAACATACTAACTTTTCAAAAAAAAAATGAATGGCCCTAATACGCTTCCGTAGATTAGATAGGGAATAGAGTTATGCACTTTTTCAAACCAGTATTTGTTATATTTTCAGGTTTTATTGGGTCGAGATGACGCAGTGAATACCATCAAGGACTATATAGAGGACACATCTAAAAATAGCAAGATGCTATTACTGGCGGGATTCCCCGGTGCTGGTAAAAGCTCTCTCATGGCCTACTCCGCTAAAATGGCGCTTCAGAGACCAGATTATAAGGTAGGTTACTATTGTTCCAAATGGACTCATAAAAGCACCAACTTTTAGTAAATTGAGGAACAAAAAATTTCATTATGACTCTTTCCACTTAACTTATCTTATGTAAAGTGTGCTTAGCTAGCACAAATGTAAAGTGTGCTTAGCTAGCACATTTTATGCTTTATGCGTGTATCGTTTACAATAACATGGTAGCTTTAAGCCTATTTCTTTTTTTAAATATAAAAACATGATAGCTTTAATGTTGATATACTTTCCGCTTAGGTTTTTTATCATTTTGTCGGTGCTACCCCGGACTCAACCAATCCCTACAACATTCTGTCCAGAATTTACCGTGAATGTATGCCCAGTGAGGACAATATTCCCAAAGACGTTGAAGAGATGATCCGATTTGCCCCTACCATGTTCCAAACCTCTACTAAGACAACCCTCTCTAAACATTATAAAAAACTAGTCGTTTTTATTGACGCACTGAACCAGATGGAAGAAGAAGGTGAGATCTATGTTTCAAAATCGATACAATTTTTGGTCACCAAGGGCGAAATGTTTTTGTTACGAAATGTCTCATTTGTTACGAAACAGCTGCATGCTACGATGGTTCAGATTTTGTACGTTTTCATCAACAACTACAAATGACTACATGTAAAAACCAAATGCAATTACTATGTGAAGTGATCCCGCACAATAAGATTTTTGATGAATTACAAGAGATTCAGACATGAGATTTTAGTTTTGAAAAGTGGTACGGTTGCTCTATCAGCTGGTAAAGCAAATATACTGATTAATCCCGCACAATAAGATTTTTGATGAATTACAAGAGATTCAAACATGAGATTTTAGTTTTGAAAAGTGATACGGTTGCTCTATCAGCTGGTAAAGCAAATATACTAATATCTATACAGGTAGCTAAAATCTAGCTTTTTAAGTTTAAAAAGCAAATAATATTTAGACGGCTATATAGCACTTTCATTTTGTTTTTCTAGCCAATTCCGCCGAGTTGTCCTGGTTGCCGAAAGAGATGTTCCCTGGTTTACGGATCATCGTCAGTACGTTGGAAGGCAAATATCTGAATGCCTTAACCAAGGCAAAAATCAAACCCCAACAGCTCCTGGTCGAACCTTTAAAACCGGAAGTTAGGAGGCAGATCGTCGTAGAGATTTTACAGGAATTCAACAAACAACTCGACGAAGAACAGGTACATATCTTTCTCATTTAAAATTTCACAATAAGACAAATTCAATTTCAGGAAAACTTTTCACTAGACAGTAACAGAACAGTGTGGCGATAAACTCTGTCTCATTTCAGACCAGATGCAACCATTGAGCGTTAGACAACATTTCTCTTAAGATCCTGACCAGATGGGTGTTGCTGTTAAACCTACATTTCATATAGTCCAATAGGAATACAGTGTACTCTGTGACATTTGAGTACTCCGTCATTCTGCGTAATCCAACATCTTTTTTTTTGGGTCCTTCTTCTTCTTCTTGTTGGTGGGTGGTGTCCGCTTTAGAAAAAAATCCATATCGCAGTCGTCGAGTAGGGAACGTGTTGCTCCCATGGTTTCTTCGGATTCTTCTTCTGCAGTCTTGATACTGCGTTCTCCTTCTGTGATTCTTCTTGGCGATCTATCGCGGACTAAGTCCCCAATGATCGCCACACCTACAGAGGAGCAGGCAGCTCTTCTGATCATTCGTGACTCACTCAGAAAATAATAAACAGTCTCACAGATTGTTGACATACCCTCCCCCGTATGGGACAGAATATTCTTCAAGGTGTAATCCAGCCTATATCTTTTCATTATCTCGACCAGCGATTTCCTTAATTCCCTTAGTTGCCCACAATTGCTCTCGATTGATTCCCTTCTTATATCAGTTTAAAAAAATACTCCGACATTCTGTGTATTACAAATTACGATACTAATCAGTGGTCCCGAAACACATATAATATATAACTGGACGAAAATCACCATTCTTTTATATTTTGCAGTTATCTGTGTTGGTAGCTAAAGAAGACTCTGGTCGTCCATTGTGGTTGAGTATAGCTTGTGAGGAACTCAGGGTGTATGGTGATTTTAAAACTTTGATAGATAAAATAGTTTCTCTACCAAAGGATTTGGCTGGTTTGACTACAATGGTAAGAATTTCCATTCCGGACGTTGGGATGTTCACTCTTTCGCAACACACGAGTTTGTCAACTTGACATCCCTTTTTGATTGCCAACGGAAGCCGCGGTGGCTCAGTGAGTTAGACGCTTGCTCGCTAACCTGAAGGTCTAGGTCGAGATAATACCTTCGGATTTTTCAACCCGGTTTCCCCCGTCAGTGATGCAGGTAAGAGGGACTGACATGGAAAAAGCGTCTAGTCGTTCAGATGGGACAATAAACCGAGGCCCCGTGTGCTACAGGCTGTGCACGTTAAACTTCCCTCGACAGTTGGAAATCGAAAAAGAGCAGGCTAATGCCGCTGTCCTGGCAAAATATCCCTGCATGGCGTTGCCCGTCTTCATTAGCCCACATGGTGCAGAAAAGTAGGACGTAAAACTCCATTCATTTCATTTCATTTTTTGATTGCCAACATAGTTCATATTGTTTATTAGTCCAATACTCTTGCAACATTTAAATTCCATGGAAGTCTATCAGCTGAGAAAGAAAGTTTTTAGAGAAGATGAAGTTGTCTCAGAATGCCATAAACAAACTTTTAGACACGTGGATTTTCAGGCAGTTGATACCGATATTATTTCAGGTCTTGGATCGTATCGGTAAAGATTACGGTGAAGAGTTTGTGCGAGCTACACTTTGTGTTCTGGAAACATCAAGATTTGGGTTGATGGAGTCGGAGATATTGGAGTTACTGGCCTTGAAACCTATAGACTATAATCCTAGCGTCCCAGCCAATAATAAAACAGGCAAACGAATCAGCATGGCACAGGTACGTTAAGGAAGATTTTTATCGTCTCTTGCTGTTGAAGCACATAGCTAAATATCAACCACAGTTATGCACAGCTCAACCAGAATCTACCAAACCCCGACCGAAAATAATATAGACGGCAACAAAAACATATATACAGGGAGCCCATGGCAAAACAGGCCAATCGTATTGATTCTTACCATCAAATATGTCCTCAATGGATCGATTGGAATCGAATAGGTCTAATCTATTGAAGATTGTTGTGTTCCATAATTTTATGATGACCTCGTATTGAATTTCAGTGGGCTTATGTATACCTAGGATTAAAATCCTTCCTCCGACCCTGTGGTACTTCTGGTGAGGGTCGATTGGATTTTTACCACAGATCAGCTAGTAAAGTGGTACGACAGGTCTACCTCAACAATCCTAAAGCCAAACTGTGGTGGCATCAGCGTCTTGCTGACTATTTCCAAAGAAGGTAAGCTCCGAGTCAACTTTGCAATTTCCTTGCCGCATGTAGGATCACCAGGCACAAAAATTGTTCGCCTTCCTTGGATCATTCAAATGAAATAAATATGATGCATTGGTTCCGTTTTATTAGTTGATTGAAATGCAGAAAAGTTGGGCGTAAAACTTCATTTAACTTGCCCATGAAAGTGAGCTGCGGTGGCTCAGTGAGTTAGACACTTGCTCGCTAATCTGAAGGTCCAGGGTTCAATCCCGGCATAGGTCGAGATGAAACCTTCGGATTTTTCAACCCGGTTTCCCCTGTCAGTGATACAGGTAAGAGGGGCTGACATGGAAAAAGCGTCTAGTCGTTCGGACGGGACAATAAACCGAGGCCCCGTGTGTTACAGGCTGTGCACGTTAAAGATCCCTCGACAGTTGGAAATCGAAAAAGAGCAGGCTAATGCCGATGTCCTGGCCACATTTCCCTCATTTTTTTATTTTTGTACACTACAGTACTGATGTATTCAGAAAATCTGAAGAACTACCATTCCATCTACAAGAACTAGACAACAAGGTGGATCTGAAGAAATGTTTATTGGACCCGGAGATATTTCTGCAGCTGTACCAGGAGAAGACGAAGCTACAGTTGATGAAGTACTGGTCTTTTATTGGTGGTTACGATGAAGCCGCTCAATCTTATTCCAATTTTCTACATACTCACTCTAAGGTACGGCGCTTGTGACAGTTTTTCAAAAAACTGAAGTCAAGATTTCTAAAGTAAAGTCATCTTATTGGTCAATAACTGAAAATAAGTTTTAAAATGTATTATCAGCCAATTAGATTACTGTATTCCCAAAAATCTTGTGAGACGGAAATAATTGCCATTGGTTGGAATTGTACGGTGGCTCACATATTTCACTTTTAATTTTGAATTAAAAACATTAATTTTCACTTGGGTGATAATTATTTTCACCTAGGTGCTAATTATTTTCACCTAGGTGCTAATTATTTTCACCTAGGTGATAATTACTTTCGTGTAATTTTAAATGAAGAACTTTAATTTTCACCTTTGTGAAAATAATTTCCACCTAGGTGATAATTCAACGAATCTTGTAAAAAATGTTTTTAATTTAAAATTCTTCAATTATCACCAAGGTGAAAATTAAAGTCTTTAATTCAAAATTACAGAAATTATCACCTAATTTCCACCTAGGTGAATGTAATTATTAGGTGAAAATGAAATTTTCTAATTCAAAATTACAGGAATTATCACCTAATTTTCACTTAGGTGAAAATAATTATCACCAAGGTGAAAATTAAAGTTTTTAATTCAAAATTACAGAAATTATCACCTAATTTCCACCTAGGTGAATATAATTATTAGGTGAAAATGAAATTTTCTAATTCAAAATTACAGGAATTATCACCTAATTTTCACTTAGGTGAAAATAATTATCACCAAGGTGAAAATTAAAGTTTTTAATTCAAAATTACAGGAATTATCACCTAATTTTCACTTAGGTGAAAATAATTATCACCAAGGTGAAAATTAAAGTTTTTAATTCAAAATTACAGAAATTATCACCTAATTTTCACCTGGGTGAAAAAAATTATCAAGTAAAAAAAAAGTTACCAAGTAAAAAAAAAGTTTTTAATTCAAAATAAAAAGTGGAAAATGTCCTATGTGAGCCACCGTAGAATTGGGATTTTTGGACTCAATCTATCACCTACTGGCCACTCAACGTCTATGATATGGATAGACGATGGATTTGCATTTAACTCTAAACTCTAAACTCTAAACTCTAAACTCCAGACTGGACATTCGCGCCTTACGATCGCTACAATGTTTCATTTCCTTACAGAAAGTTGCAGAAAGTCCTGAATTGTACCATTTGAAATCGAAGATTGGATGGTTTCTCATTGACATTGGTGAATATGATATAGCGATCGCCATTTTAGAGGATTTAATACAGCAGTTGGAGAAGCGGTATGGGAACGATAGCAAAGAACTGGCCGACCCCCTTCACGCCATGACAACTCTCTTTTACAGACGCGGTGAGTATTCGCTTGTGTTTACCAGCGTTTGTGATTTTGTTCATTGTTAGTCTAGGCATCAAACTCACCGACAAAAGGGGGTAATTGACTATGCCTTTATACTGAGCTAGAGGGTAAGAAATCCGTTCACGTTATGACTAATAGTGGAGAAAAAAAATACGAGAATGACAGAAATATATCGACCAGTCCTCCACCACATCGCGCTTCTTTACAAGCGTTGATTATTTTAGGTTTGGGTTTCGAAGGGACCAGACCCGAGATACATCCGTTAGCTCTGGAAGGCATAGGTCTACTTCATATTCTTATTTTGGTGTCCTTATTTTTATAGGTATGAAATTTGTTTATGGTAGTAATCCACAAACCAAAAGTAATCGTCAACAGGGAACAGTTTATAGCAAGAGATGTCGCGACGTGAGTAAACCTTATTTCTTTTCATTGTGTAGTTAGGATTCTTACTATATCAATAAATCCATACATGAAATACCGCGTAGTTATCTCCCTTTATGGACTCACTCCACTAAAACATTTTATGCAAATTTGTATACGAATGTAGTCCAGGCTATTTTTTAGAATCTTCTTTCTCTCTCCCTTTTTGGGTTTTTGCATGCCTATTTTTGGGTAATTTTTGGTCTAGATTTGGAATTTGATGTCTGAAATTGCATTATCTTTAAGATTTGGTGAGATGATGAGAGACCTAAAGGCGGATGAGTATAACCGGTAGTAATCTACTTTCAATTTTAGTAGCTCAAAATTTTCATGGTCATCATAATATTGAATGTTTTAGGAGACATTAAGGATTGGTCAGGCTTTCTTTCGACATATTGGAAAGTTTTCAACGAGATTTCTGGAAAAAGTTGTAGACGGTTGAATTTCGTGTTTTAACATGGGAAGAGATGGCAAATGAATTAGTGGAGTGAGTCCACATGGCAAATTGTCTCCCCTTATTTACATGGCTAATTGTCTCCCTTTTATAACGTGACAATTTGTCTTTCGTTATTTACTGAGGTAGTTGTCTCCCTTTAATAACGTAACGAGTTGCCTTTCGTTATGTACTGAGATAGTTGTCTCCCTTTAATAACGTAACGAGTTGTCTTTCGTTATTTACTGAGGTAGTTGTCTCCCTTTAATAACGTAACGAGTTGTCTTTCGTTATTTACGGAGATAGTTGTCTCCCTTTAATAACGTAACGAGTTGTCTTTCGTTATTTACTGAGGTAGTTGTCTCCCTTTAATAACGTAACGAGTTGTCTTTCGTTATTTACTGAGGTAGTTGTCTCCCTTTAATAACGTTATGAGTTGTCTTTCGTTATTTACTGAGGTAGTTGTCTCCCTTTAATAACGTAACGAGTTGCCTTTCGTTATTTACTGAGGTAGTTGTCTCCCTTTAATAACGTAACGAGTTGTCTTTCGTTATTTACTGAGGTAGTTGTCTCCCTTTAATAACGTTACGAGTTGTCTTTCGTTATTTACTGAGGTAGTTGTCTCCCTTTAATAACGTTATGAGTTGTCTTTCGTTATTTACTGAGGTAGTTGTCTCCCTTTAATAACGTAACGAGTTGCCTTTCGTTATTTACTGAGGTAGTTGTCTCCCTTTAATAATGTTACGAGTTGTCTTTCGTTATTTACTGAGGTAGTTGTCTCCCTTTAATAACGTTACGAGTTGTCTTTCGTTATTTACTGAGGTAGTTGTCTCCCTTTAATAACGTTATGAGTTGTCTTTCGTTATTTACTGAGGTAGTTGTCTCCCTTTAATAACGTTACGATTTGTCTTTCGTTATTTACTGAGGTAGTTGTCTCCTTTTAATAATGTAACGAGTTGTCTTTCGTTATTTACTGAGGTAGTTGTCTCCCTTTAATAACGTTACGAGTTGTCTTTCGTTATTTACTGAGGTAGTTGTCTCCCTTTAATAACATAACGATTTGTCTTTCATTATTTACTGAGGTAGTTGTCTCCCTTAAATAACGTAACGAGTTGCATTTCGTTATTTACTGAGAAAGTTGTCTCCCTTTAAT